ACAACATATTTTTGAAGAGCAAATTACAGCAAAATGAAAACAAAATTAGGTATCAAATTTGTCAATTGCGTAAACTGAAATCAAATTATGATTTCAGTTTGATGTTGATATCAAAACTTGATTTCAATTAGCTGTCATTTTGATGCTGGACTTTGCTCGGGTAGTTTTTGTGATTTGCAGTTCGAAAACCGTAAAAAAATTACCGAACAAGGAAACCGTGATTAAGTGTGTACACACTAACTTTAGATCGCTGAAGTCAGTAAAATTTTGCTGGGTTTTTGAATTGCGGATCCTCCAGTAATCATTACAGCAAAAATTTGCATTACCGATCTGTCCGTAAAGTCAATCTGTCAAAAATAACTGTTCATTCAGTAATTGGTTCGAGTTGCGTATACTGGAAAGCCCAGTAATTTTTTTGTTTATTTTGCTGCAATTTAACTGACCAGACAGTTATTCTGTTAATTCTTGTACCGTGTTACCCAGTTATATTAAAAGATTTGTCAGGAAAAAAAAACTATGTCCGGAAGGAAAATCATGTATTTCAATGTTAAATGCATTTTATGTTTCTCATTTTTTCAGGACACTGATCGGAAACAACAACAACCATAAAATCAATACAAACTACGGCGAAACTTATCGCTTGAAGTTGTTATGTTTCCAACCTCCATAAAAACTGACTTAAAGATTACAAAGATTTGCTTGCCGCTCGATCGACAATCTACATTGAAAACAGTCAACTACATGCACAACATATGGAAACATTCCAAGAAATTCCTTTTCAAAGGAATAGTGACGTTCTTCCAGGAGATAATTCCATCGGTGTTGTCTTCAGGGAATTTTCCACGGGCGTAAAGTGTAGGAGTTTCATGGTTTAATGTTGGTATTAGCTATAGTCGTACTCCATGCCAAATCATGCACTATACCTACTTGAATCCATTCAACAATTCCGTCATGATATAATTCATGGTTTCTTACAAATTTTCACAAAACTGCGCGATAAAACACTTGCTCCCGGATTTTACTGAAGCTAAATGGCGGCGGGAATAAAATTTACAGGTTAGAGTTTTACAATTCTTGGTCGGTAAAACAAAGTGGCTGTTTCGCTGACCACTCGGTAAACAAATAAAGACTACTTTGTGCACACTAATTATTTTTACTGACTTTTCGTGAAACCTAGAAAATTTGGAAATTAACGACTTTCTCAGCAAATATATATTCTGTGTACAGTATTTTGCATCAAACGATACCGAAGTTCAGTTTGTGTTTTACAGAACGCCGGTTATTCATCAGATTTAAACTGAATTTTCAGTAAATCTTTCGTTTTACCGTGCAAGCCCAGCACAAAAAAATACCGATCAACTAAATGCTGGATTAGTGTGTATGGAACTAAGATTGGGCCCATCGCTAAAAATCTGCTTTTTATCAATTTTATCTAGACGAACGTGTCATTGCGACGGTACTTATAGATATTTTTAGTCGCTATTGAAAATTTAGTCGATTGCTGAATTTGTGTATGGGCCCAAATAAGGGGCACTTAGGCCAATATTAGAGTTATTTCCCCTACTTGTTCACTTCTTGTTTCATGAATAATAATAAATTTGTTAGGAAACAGCTCCACATTCTGTTTACATTTATCATTTGAGTTGTTTGTATGAATAACAATAGAACGATATGAACAAATAGGAGTATGGTAAAACCAATATCTGATATGTACGATCCTTAATTATTTGTCGCGCGTTTTTGCAAATAACTCTTAATGATTTTCTTCTGTTTTCGGCTTCATCGCAAATATAAATCAACAACAATCAAAAAATCCATCAATGTCTATGTAAGCCAGACTAGAATTACGTAGCCCTATACAGTGTTTTTCTTCTTCTGCATGGAGTACATCCGGAGAACTTCTAGATTTGGGCGTAATTGCTTTTGTAAACAAACACGCCCATCACTGATTTCTCGCGAATAAAATCACAATCTTGCGAACAAACTATACCAAATGATAGAGGAATCATTCATCTACCTGTTTGTATTGTTAGTTTTTTAGATTGAGCTTTAATTTGCGAGAAATCGGCAAATGATGTGTTTGTTTACAAAAGCAATTACTCCCTAATCTCGAAGTTCTCCTAACATTTCATGATAACTGCACCGCAACAAACCTACTGTGATGTAAAACTTTAAATGCATCTGAAAATTCCATTAATTTGAAAATTATATTGTGTCTTTGCTTTAATATTGTATCAGCTGTGTCAGTTCAATATTGTATCAGCTCAGTCCCACTGTCAATAATGGCAATCCCACATCTTTGTTGGTTATAAGCAGATGACCATCGGTTCAATAATCAGCACATCCATTTAAAATAACAACACCGAGATTGAATGTGAGGTGTTTAATTCATGTGTCAAAAATAATTGGTTTCCTTGAATCGGTTGCAGACACTAATGTAACAGATCAGAAGTAGGTGGAAAATGAATATGAAAAAACCCAATCTAATAATTGCATTTTATAATCGAAAAAAAAGTTCTTCGGGATGGACTGATACCGAGGGAGTGGACTATTTTCAGACAGGTGTCAAATGAAAGATAGAAGGTTATGATTTCAAATGATGAAGGATTCAGCGATGCTTATTTTTTTGTTATAAAGCTTCGTCGTGACGCGTATTTCGTGTACAATGTGCGGACTTCTTCAGTGTCTTGTACTAATACTTGAGTATTAGTACAGATATACCTCGATATAACGTAACTGTCACTTTTGGCTGCCATAGTTGATTTTTCGTAAACGATCATTAAAACAAGCAAAGTAATATCACAAACGAAGTTACAGACGACTAACTGGCGAAGAAATCCATTAAAATAATGTGGTTCACTGTAATAGAATTTTCTTGGAAGCTTGTGCCATCATCATTTTGTCATTTTTTTTATGCATTTCAGTTTTGAGTAGAGTGAAAGAGATAGAACCAAAACATTCTAGTACATTTGGTGAAAATGCTAGTTCAATCTAGTAGTAGTGTTGCCATGTGGTACAATCCAGTAGTAGTGGTGTTGCCATGTGGTATACTGAAAAATTGCAATAGCAGGTTAGTCACCAAAGTTTTCGAGCCGCTCCGTCTGTCACTTCGTTTGTGGTAATATCACCGTCAGACAGATGAGATAATCCCCCATCTATTGGTAATATTAACTTGTATGATTCAATTATTATTAGGGAGATATTGACAATAGAAGTCAAAAGTGACAGTTACGTTATATCGAAGTATACCTTTACAATATAGGGTAAATGTCGGCTTCGGCACCCATTGACTGTTTTCGGCAACCAAAATTTAAACGTTAATTTCACTATGTTTTCCCATCAACACACTTCCCTGAATGCATCCAAACGATTCTTTAGTCTTTCAGCTTCAATCTGATTGTATGTGTACGTCTGAACAGTCCTGTTATGGCAGATTTTTATTCAAATGAAGCATACGTACTCTAAAATGGGGTTGATTTCAAGTTGCCGATAATAGAACAGCTGGTTAACACGCAGTTCTAATGGGAAGGTTGCCGAAGAAAACGAGGCTGCCGACAATAGTCACACTCACCTGAGAAGTTTGGAGCGTTGTAAAAACGCTTTCAAACAGTTTTGAAGAATTCTGTCGATTAAAATGGATAGAGAAGCAAGCAGCAGATGAATGTAAACCAACAGACACGTCATATATGTGCGTGAAGCTGAGAAAATGCTAATAGAAGTGTGGACACTGCTTAGATTGACGAGAATACGTAAATTCCCCTACTGAAGAACTCTGCACATTGTAGACGAAATACGAGTATCTGTCAAGGATAAGCAATTAAGGTGAAAGTGACCTGGTGAGTAAATAAAAATTTCAATATTGCACAGAAAAAAATTCTGAATTTTAACTATCGCGTAAAAACCCCCTTCGTTTAATGTTGAGCTATACTTGGCATAAACAGCGAAATCGTTTACAAGGTTGCATACAATATTGCTAATTTATGCAATATTGCGCTTAAATTTACACGAAATATCGCGTAAATTTATGCCAAATCTAGCGTTAATTTTATGTGCGCTATATCTCGCAGAAATTTACATGAATTTTTCGAACGGTGTCGTTTTCTCTGAGACATCACTTTAGATTGAAAAAAGCTATCGTAGTTTTGTGGCGAAATACAACATCGACGAAAGCTTTTTGCAATCTGAAGTGATGTCTCAGAGAAAACCATTTTTGAAATTTTGATTTACTCACTAGCTCACTTTCACCTTAAGGTAGTGAAACTAAATGGAAATTACTAATCCTTCTATCTTTTCTATATAGTTTATACTTGTACACACTTAGAAAAAAAATCATGTAAATTTAGGTGCTCTGAGACTGACATATACGAGCGGCAATTTTTACATAAAATTGAGTCTTAATAGACGCAAAATTCAGCTCAATCAAACGTACTTTTCAGTCTCGGAGCACTTAATTTTACATGACATGTTTGTTTACGTCTCATCCTTTTTGTCAAAGATGGATTCCGTCACGTGTAAAATTAGGTATTTCTAAGTGTGTAGGTTGCATATTTAATTCCAAACAACAATGGAATTCTTCCATTTACTCCTTCGTTTTGGCTTCGCCAAGATTCGAACAGCAGAGTAGATCTGCAATTTATTTTGCTGAGATTTGGTACAACAATTGTCGAGGCTCAGCTAACAAATTAGATTTTTGCTGAGATCTCACCTAACAAACAGATATTTTGCAGATATATCAGCAAAAGTAAATCCCTAGGCTGTGGGAGATTTTACCCAGCTAGATTGAGTGCCTAGAAATTTTCTTATCAAAACGAATGCAAGATTCAATTTTACTGTCACTGACAAATGATATGAAAACCCATGACAGCTACTTTTATGTCATGGCAATGACATTCTTCCATGATGGCCATGAATGAAATTAGTGGGCCCATTTTCCAGAGGTTCACATTTAATCACAACCCTAATAAATCTTTTCGCTTCCTTCTGCTTTCTTCTTCGCACAGTGTACGACAACGAAATCATGAAGGTGGCAAAATTCCTGCAGCGCTCGCTAAACACCTTCATCGCTGCCCATGGCGTCCGGATCGGGATGGGTAACGATAGCGGGGCCCGCTTCCTGGACGATGTCGATGACTTTGATGGCCGTGGCAAAAAGAAGAAGAAGTGGGGAATGATCCTGCCGTTGGCACTGATGCTCAAACTGGTGCACATGAAGCTGCTGCTGAAGCCGATCCTGCTCGGCGTGGGGCTAATCCAGGTACTGCTCATTGCCGGTGGTCTCATCATATTCAATTACTTCCGTCACAGCAGCGTCTGTCGTTTGCAGCCACACGTCGTTCACTCCCATTCGCACATTGCCAGTGAATCGTCGCCAGGTAAGTTGCCGGAGTTAGGGATATCCGTTTGAAAAGGTAATTTTTGGTTCTTGTTCTTTGCAGATATTTCCTATGCTGCTTATGGTGCTTACCCATCGTACTCGGCATCGCCGTACAATGCCTACAGCAAGGATTGGGCCTCTAACCGAGCCTATAGTGCGTATAGCTTTCTGGATGCCATCGATAACCAGAAAATTTAGTAGTTAGAGTGCCAGTAGAGAACGTAATTCAGGATATTAACTGAATTCACTGGAAAACCTTTTTGACCTCTTTTCACTTTCAATAGCTATTCACCTGCTCACCATTCTATTTAATATCCCTACACAATCAAGCTCCTTCCATCGTTTTTGCTTCAAACTGCCTTCTCTTTAATTTCTATAGAAATCGTTTGCCAAAGCTATCATCTTCTGTGCTCTGCTAATATTTTCAAACCCGTTGCTAGTCTCAGATCCGCGAGGAAGATTGCATACTTTTAAAAGCGCTATCTCTACTTCCATTTCTTTCCCATCCGTTTTTTCCCCGTACACTAAGAGTGTTTGCCTAAGGACGCCGGTAGCGTTGAAGAACAGATTTTATTTAGTTATTTATTTATTTATTTATTTATTGAATTATGTATTTCCCGTTAAATTAAGCCAACGATCGAGGGAGGATGGGTGATTAAGTGTGCCGCTCCTCCCCTCCAGTAGCAGCTAGAAGATAGCTCCTCTCAGCTCTTATCTTGTTATCTTTAAAGGCCACGAATAAATAAAATGACATGCAAACAAAACAAAAAAAAAAACAACAACCCAACGGTCGTAATACCTGGAAATTGATTGTGTTTTCCACGTGAGAAATCCTTGTTCGCTTCGCCCAGTCAGTTTCGGCTCTAGGCATAGTATGTAAGGGGAGATGAACCGTATTCATTAATTTCCAGCGCTCGCATCGCCGTCGTACCAGTCATGAGATGGGCCGCAGGTTCTCAAAACTTGTTATCAACTCTAATCCCTTCTAGGCCTATAAGCAAGTAGAATTATGGTCTACGAATTGAAGTGCATTGTGTTGTTTCGGGTATGCCAGGTTGAATCCCACAGGGTATGGGACATTCGCGGACCGGATTTTGAATTTCCTAATGGGTGTCATATTTTAGATCCATGTAAATTGTAAATGTCCGTCTGCTTGAAGGTGACCTTCTTGTTACCAGTGCACAGTTGGCCAGGAATTAAATCTAGCAGGAAAAAATAATAACGCTCTGGGATTACATCGAATGGAGATGGCGTCCTGGTTGCAGTCTCTTGGATTAATTAGGAATACAATTTGGTGTATACAAATAGTTCAAGTTGAGGCCGCAAAGATGGCACAGCGATACAAACTGTTTTTTTTCTTCTTCTTTTTCCTTTATTTAACGTCGGTCTCTGTTCCGCAATCTAGTGCCAATCACCGACGGACATCGATTGCCATCCATTGACGGCAATCGAATGTGCAGGAAGGCAGCTTCCACGCCTGCGTAGGATATCGCACCCATTCAAACACACATGGGCCGGGACCAACGGCTTTACTTCCCTTACGAAGGAAGACGTGACCAGAGATTTTTATGCCACAGAAAAATCCCACCGTCCTCGGCTGGGATTGAACCCAGCCTATTGGGGTGAGAAAGTAGTCACGCTTACCACTACACCGGTGATTTTTTTTTATTTCACAAAACAGAGGTCTGTCTTGGAAAAAAGTTGTAGAATGTAAAATTTTATGAAAAGTTGTACTTCAAAAAAAAAAAAAATTGATATACCGTGCCGATTCAAATTTCGGACACTTAAACTCGAATTTCGGACACTTTTAAAAGTTGATTATCTCGGTCGAATATGATCCACATGTCTTGTAAATTTTAAATTTTTTTGACTAGTGCCCTCCACGATCATCTAACATTATTACTTTGTTTCTAACTGGATGTAATATTTAATTAAAAATGAAAGTGTCCGAAATTTGAATCGTCCGAAATTTGAATCGGAACGGTATACAAAGTTTTATAAAATTTGCCAGAAATTCACGCTTTTAGTACTATATTTTGATCAATCAACGATAAAATACTTTTATATTTAAATATATAAATCCAATGTTTTTCAGATCAATGATATTATTTTAGAGTACTGACAAATGTACACCACATGAAATTAAAAAAAAATACATGAATTCCTGAATATTTTTTTTTAAATGCGTAAGTGAACGCAAAATGCCATATTTTTTTTTCAAAATGTGCACCAAATACACTTCAATTCCTCGGAATATTTCAGAGGTACATTGAGATGTATTTGAGATATTTGGAATTGAATTAAACAAAATATATTGACCCATCTAGTCAAGATGTCAAGTTAGCGCAAATAATTCAATATGAGTGTCTTACGATCGAATTCTGTTTCAAGATTTTTACCACAAAATAGGTCTTGTCCATCTGAACAACTTAGTACATATCTAGTACATATGTTAAGGGGTTACGCCTACCTGCAAACTTTCAAAAAATCGATTTTTTTATTGTTCTAATCGAAAGTATATAAAGTCAAGAATATTTCCTCAAAAGATCAAGTTGAACCGATGAAAATTGTGAAAGTTATGCGACGTACAAAAATATTCACTTATAGTGGACTAAACCCAACTTGAAACTTTAAACGCGATTATCTCGGAATCATATTTTCAAAACCGGTGCGAAAAATTTCTCGAAATGTATACATTCGATTCGTCCGATTCGTTTTGATTTCTGTTCAATACTATTTTGTGCAGTCCACGATCGTTCGGATTTCGTCTATCATTTAATTTCGATTTTTTACAGCCGATCAAAGACAAATTTTAAGGATCAAAAATCGGCACTTCAACTTTGCAAGGCCGCCATTTTGTCAAAAAAATTTAAAAAAAAACTGAACGATCAAGGAATAGTTTAACACATGCTTAACGATTTTGCATGGTTTTTTTTTATTTCAGATGATTACATCACAACCGCAGTTGTCACCGCAAAAAGCGTTTTTTAGAACATCGTCCACGGGGAGCAGCCGTGCGGGGCACCAGGACCTCGTTTTTACAGCATCGACTGGTAAATGTACCATTTAATGTGTGTTCAATAAACGGCAGAAAACCGATTTTCAATATGTTGCGTCGTTTTCGAGAAAAAACAAATCCAAACTTTCGGTCTTGCAGGTAGGCGTAACCCCTTAAGTTAGGGACAAATGAATGTCACACTTGCGCCACTTGGGGAGTGAATTCTGAACTCAACTATTTACCATAAAATAGGTCTTGTCCATCTGAACAACTTTGCCGAAGTCGGGAATCTTCTATCTAGTCTATCTAGAAGTTAGGTTAAAGCAAGCAATTCAAAATAAATGTCACACTAGTGCTACCTACAGAGTGAGTTCTGAACTAAACTGTTTACTTAAGGATAGGTCTTGTTCAACTGAACAACTTTACCCAAGACGGAAACCTTCTATCAAGTCCATATGTTAAGTTAGAGCAAACAATGCAAATTGAGTGTGACACTAGAGCTGCCTTGTGAGTGAATTATGAACTAATCTCATCACCATAAAATATGGCTTGCCTATCTGAAAAACTTTCCCCAAGGCGGGAATAGGGGGCGACACATCTAAATCTTAATTCTAGATGTTAAAAAAATATCACACTAGCGAATCAATCTTCTTTGATTTCTCGCATCTACTTGCATCGCGCATCATCTTTTTGCAGGAATCTTCAGCACCGTCATCAATCTTCTTTCCATCTACTCAGCGTGCGCGCAGCTAACCACAGCAAAACACAATTTTTCCTGCATCGTAGATAGAGTCGCCCCCCTCGGGGGGGTTGACAACCGGTCATAAATGATTACGTACCCTCGGCCTTTCCCAACGACGTCAGCAGAAGTTACTTCTGGCTGCCAGTGCCGAGGAAATGCACACAACGGCTGGTGTAGGCTGAACGTGGTGTTGTCACAACCAACGAGTAGGAGGGATTCATTTTGGAGCCCCAAGTTGACGGTCAAGCCACAGACAAACAGACATAACGCTCGCAAGTTGTTCATCGAAGAAGCATTTAACGGTAAATCGGTAAGTTGGTAGTACCGCCACCTGTGGGGCGCATAATCAATTTCATAGCGTTTGACGTTTACACACTACCACCATCTGTTCAGCGTACTACCACAGTATACTCAACAGATGGCGATAATGTTATAGCGACAATGTTTAAAGTGAGAAATATTTAATGAGTTATGTCTGTTTGTCTGTGGTCAAGCCTTCGATGCCTTTCATACACTCAGAATAATTTTCACGTAAATGCTACGTGAAAACATACGTAGATTTTTGCCATCGTACTTTTCACATAAAATTTACGTGATTCTCATATAGGGGTACTCATTTCATGAAGCTTAACCGTCACAGAATTATCACATAGAAGTTACGTGATTTGGTCGGTTACATTCATTAGATATTTTGACACTGTTTACTACCCTAATATGTAGATACAATCTTTACTGTATTCATAGTAGTATAATTTAATAATATTTCTTTAATTTATTCAAATATTCTAAATACACCACATCAGATTTTTTTTTTTTTAATATTCGATACGCAGCACAAACAATCTGGACGATCATGGAGATGGGCCGAGATACTTTTTTTAGAGGAAGAAACTGCTGGACAGCTTGAAATCGTTCTGTTGAGCACGATGAAACAGACAGTTTGTTTTTGTTAAAGAGAATAAAATAATCCATAATGTTATACTTACATCACAGACAAACAGACGTAACTCTTTGAAAAACTTGTTCTTGAAAACATAGTATCTCAAAACATATAACCTCAGTAACGACATCTCTCTGGCTTCTCGCGGAAAACAAGCTTGCTCGCTAACTCGTAAACAATATTGCATAAAAGTTCTATAGAATGTATAGAAACGTCAAAGTGATCCGATGCCAGCGCTGCGGCGAGTAGTTCGCGGAACTGATAATATTCAAATCAACCGTTAAATGCATGAACGAAGATACACAATGAAGAGTTACGTCTGTTTGTCTGTGCTTACATCTTGCCACTACCGAATACCGGACAAAAGAACATCATGATGCCGCCATGATTTGCACCGCTCTGAGTGTAAGTACCAATCTTTTTTTAGATGTGGAAATTATGTGAAAATAACGTACATTTCATTGATTATGTAGGTGTGTTAAAAAGAAACTCGGTGAAAATCAAGGGACATCACATACATTCTACGTGAGTCACGTAAAAC